CGGTCAATATATATCCAAAAATAATTACAAAATGTATGGATTTTATAGAATTGAGAAACAACTCCTAAATTTGTGCTCGGCGTGTCTTCATCTTTTGGAAACGATCGATGACATCTTCATTTTTAACATTATTATATGCTTCCTTTTATACGGCACAAATGAGGGCAAAATTCAAGAAGTCATCACCAGTTCGAGTACGTAAATGGCTAAATCTGAAAAGTGCAAACAAAGACCAAAGTCACCAAATAGCCATATAGCAAGTGAGAATCTTTCGAGAATCGTCCCGATTTCCAAGAATCATTCGAGAATCGCCACTTGAGAGTTGAGAATCGTTCGAGTCTTCGTGCCGATTTCCGTCACTCACTCGCTGCTGTCTGGTCTGGACTTGCTTGCCGGCTTGGATCTGTTCCTGTTTGTTCTCGTAATCTTGTTGGCCGGCTGCTAAGTTTTAATTGGGCTTTGCATATTAGGCTTTTGATTTGGCCATTTGGGCTTTGTTTTATTTGGGTTTCAAGAAAATACGGTTGCACCGTTCACAAACCTAAATTTTTTACCCTTCGACGAAAAAATAATACGATGGCACGTGCCACCTAAACCACCCAGTTGGGTCCGTCCATGGTGTTGACCTAGTAAACCAAAGGAGAGACTCCTATTCTGTGAATGATTGCTAACACAAACAACACTCTTATTCGATTACTGTTTATCCGATTTATGTTAGCAATCAACCAATTTCTATTCATCTAAGTGAAATAAATGGAACTTGAAAAATGAATACGACCAATGCTTTAGCTAAATATATGTACATGAGGAGGTGTGGCACCTAGAAAAGGTGATGTATCAAAAAAAAGTTCTACCGACTCCAACTAACGAACTAACGAAGCATCACAAAGAAAAAAAAACGATGAAACCATGCATGTTGTTGAAACAAGAGTTTCCCCCATCAGTCCGACAACATGACTTACGAAATGTACTTAGTTAACGAAAACATGGAGTTAGACAAAGCTACTCCATGTATCTATGGTTATGTATTCGACTTATCCCAATTAATCGTATGAAAGATTTCCATTAAGAAATGGTAGCACCTGAGGCTCGGTTAATGCCTCATTAGCTACGTCATTGCCCTAAACGCAAAGATTCATCTTCCATTTTTTTGTTATTAAGATATTGTTAAACCCAAGTCAAGCCAAGGTCCAAAGACACCCATGTCAAACGAGACGGTGCATATCCAAAGAAGCCCGAATCTGAAGAAGTCCGGAAAAGCAACTAAAGGCTCCTTGCTAGTCATCTTTTTGTCTTTTGGTGCCTTCTTTGTTTTGTTTCAATAAAATTGCACTTTTACCCTTAAAACTAGCTGTTGTAAAGGGTACTTTTAAAAAAGTTATTTTCAATGATTTACTATGAATAAAATGGTATGTGTTGTACAAAATTAGGCATGGCAACGAGGTGGTCCCCGGCCCCAGACACGGTTTCTATGAACGGTCCCCAGTCCCGGCCTCGGACCCCGATGGGTACAGAGATTAATATCATGTCCCCAGTTTATTTTCTGGTCAAACCCCGATCCTCTTTCCGTTCAAGACCTAATTTTAGAAAATAAATAATATATATATATATATATATATTAATAAAATTATATACCGGGTACGGGGCGGGTCGGGGGATATGCTACCCGGTCCCGGCCCCAACCGCAACCCCGGTTTGAGTATACCGGGGATCCCCGTCCCCAGTCTCGGGACCCGTTTTAACGGAGAATCCTTGTCCCCGTTCGGGTCGGATGAGCCGGATTCCCCACTGGTCGGGGCAAATCACCATCCCTATACAAAATCTCCTTCAATTCTCGATCCTCAAGTTCTTTCAAGTTGCGATCTTTGTTGCTCAAAAAAACTCTCAAGTCTCAATTCACAACTTTTTAGTGAGTTTTATAATCTCACAATTTTATACTCTGTGATTTTAGTTAGGTTTAAAATTCTTTTACTCTCGTTTTTAAATGACTCTGTAATTGTCGTATGATCCTTTTTAAAATTCTTGTAATTTTGTTTTTTCAAATTTTTTCTACTTTTACAAGATTGTCTTCAAACTAAAGTTTTTAGAATGTCATTTTTTTCTTTCACGCACCTACCGCATCCAAATTTCCACTATTATCACCAATCACAACTGTACAAACTCAATTCGGGTTGATTTTAATTTCATATTGTTTGAGGGGTTATAAAAATCTCAATACAACCTGAAAATTCCATGTTGAAATGACAAGTGGAAAGTCTTGCTCCAATACAGTGACACTGACACCTATGATAGAAACAGATCAAACACAAGTTGGTCTTAACGAGTACATTCATCTTTCAATGATGAAACTTGTCGGAGTTGGATAACAAAGAATAAGACAGTGATTCAACAAGCGTACCATTTGGATAACCAAACGAATTATGACATGGATACAAAACACCTATCAACTGACATGTAAACCGACAAGTCATGCTATCTTAAAACGTGATGCACATCAAGCATAGGATTTGACCACACGAGAAATACAAACCACCGTTTTAAATCAATTATATTGTTTAACTTTAACATGCAAAGTTTTTAGTGTCAAAAAAAACTTATACATTATAGTAGGACACTCTAAACATTGCATCTTCAATCACGAATATTATAACATTAAAAAAGACGATGATTAATTCAAAATGGAATGGGTTAAATGCATTTCATTTCTTAAATCTACAGTTACTTATTAATTTTAAACTAGAACCTCTGCTCTATTTTAATAATTCTACCATTAACTATATGATTAAAATATTATTTATTTCTACTAAACACTTAATTTCAATGTCCCCTATTAATGAAAAAAAATTAAATATTATTTTTCTATCTTAAATATGAAGTTTTAAAGATTTCTCCAAATTTAAAGATTTATATCTCTTTTTTTTTATTTTAACATAAAAATATACCGGAAATTTCTAAAAGGAAATTAGCCCAACTACATTCCCTACATCTTGCACGCGTCATGATGTGGCGCATGAGACATGTTCACGATTTGATTAGAAGCCATTTTAACGAATCTTTTACTAATATCGTGTTTAATTTAGGAATTTGGATATATTAGTTGTGATTTTTTTTATCAATGTCTGGCGATTATTAAGAGCATCTTCACAAAGATAATAAATGAAATGGTTTGTAAGAACTATATTTAGAGGTGCTTATAGATTGAGTTGATTGTATTAAAGACACTTGAACAAATTAACCTAATGTTTACGGTTTTAACAATCTTAACCCAACTCGATACAAACCGTATAAGTTGTTCAGGTTAGTCGGATTGATACTATGGTACTTCAAAATATTCTCATAACCTTGAATATATTGTTTTTATTACTCATAATTTTTTTAATCATCAATCATTTGATACAACTTATTCATATTTCTTAAATCTTAAATATACTATATTCAACTATTTTTCTCAATGTGCATTGTTGTTACATTTATGCAACCTAATTTTAATACAAAAATAGAACTTAATGCAAGTAGAAATTTTGAACTATTATCGTTTTGTAACAAGTAATAATGGTTTTAGTATCAGATATCATTCCAACAAAGAAGACTAAACACAAAAATTTCTTAAAAAGTTATTTAAAAATTAACTTCAAATGGCGAATTCAAGGAATTTGTTTTATCTAATGTTTGAGTGAGTTAATTATCAGCTAAGAAAAATATAAACCGTAAAAAGAAACAAATGGTACGAAAGTTGTGAAGACAGACTAACGATCCATTAAAAAGATATTGTAACATCCCGGACAACTCAATAGTACTATTGGTTGATATTATATATTATTACTGATGTTGAAATGTTAGGTCAAATATTATTATATCCGAGATCATCGAACATTGAAGACTGAAGAGGTCAAAGCTTAAAGTCAACATGGTCAAAAAAAGTCAACATTGTATTTAGTTGTTAGATTGACTTGTACATTTAGTCAATTGTATAAACAACTGGTAGAAAAACTTAAAACGTGCTATTCATTTGTTACATTATAGAGAGAAGTTAAAAATAATTTATCAATATACATGATGATTTGAACTCTAGATTGTTATTCTTCATTGTTTAATTCATTATTACTTGATCATACTGCGATTAACAATAAAACATACACCGGACCACAAAAGCATATCAAAATGGAGGTTCTTATAAAAACCATATATTTATATTTTTTATTGCCACCTCATTTCTAACTCATTAAATTAAGAACTCACATAAAAGTTTATAATTGATAATTCTTAAAAACCTCATATGTATGAGTCATATATACACTATATTATAAAATATTTGACAAAAACTTTTAAAAACCATTTTTTATGCATGAAGTATTGTTTATTGATACATATTACTTAAAATTCAATATTATAAGTAAATTGTGCGTAAGTATAACTTATTAAAGATTCATGTAACCAACTGCAGATAAATATTATTAAATAGAAGATAAAATATCTCATTTTAAATATAAAAAATCTAAAACAAAATTAGGATAATTATTGAGTTCTAACAAAATATTTAATTATTATATTTATAGAAAATTATATTATTAAACCAAAAATAAAAAATTAATTAAAGAAATACAAAAAAAAAATTTAAATAGTTAGTTTGGTACAAATATCAATATTATTTTTAATTTTTTATGATGCATCTTCGTATTTATATTTTATTCACAAATTAAAACATTATCACTTGCTCAAAACCACTTAAAACTGTGTTATAACATCGACTGAGACAAAAAAAACGAAAACATTAAAATCGAAATGTATCTCACTACATTATGCGAATACCTTCTAGTATATATATATATATATATATATATTTGAACATTAATAATTAAAGTCAAGAACTATCATCGAGAATTTTTATATAAAAATTTAATTTGATCGGATGGAAGTATGGAAATGAGGTGATGGTATAAGAAAGGAGTTGGTATTTGGGAAAGCGATTCAAACTCATGTTTCTGTCTCTCTCTCTGAATGTAACTGTTGATTCGATTGAGATGTTGTCCGGCCCTTGAATCGTCTTTCCTTCAAAAACCCTAATTCCCTTTCTCTCCTTCTAACCATGAATCACACCCAAACCCCTTTTTCTTCTTCTTCTTCCTCCTCCTCCTCCCACCATTCTGCTACTATCACCACCGCCCAACAGGTACTACTCAATTTTTCTGATTTCTCTCCACTCTTTTTTCGTGTTCCACTGTAATTTGTGTTTGTTGATTTCTATTTTTACCTTTCTAATATGGTTTGACTAGTGAATTCATACATATGGATCTATGCATTTTGCCACTTTTATAGGAATCGATCTTTATTGTAAAGTAACTATCAATTTTACAAATGTTGATCCGTTTGATTTTGTTATTATGGACGGTTATGACTTTCAGTCACTCAACAAAGGAATTGAAAGACATCATTCAATGTCTAATACCATCATCATTTGTGCTTGTAAAGGTTTTTTCACTTGCAGAGAGTGAATGAAGAATCAAAAATTTGTGACGTCTTGCTAATGATCATCATCAATTGGCATCAACTAATCTTTGAAACTTCATATAGATCTCTAGATGTTCTCTAATTAATATTGTTATTTTATCAATTTTTAGTTAATCTTTAGAGTGGCAGTTTATATATTCATATGATTCACTACTTCCATTTATTTCAAGGAGAAACAAGTGAAACACAGGTGCACTAGAAAATTTCATAAAATCTAGTAAAGTTAGGAACTGTCTTTGCTGCTAGAGATTTTAGTTAGCGTAGAAATGAAATTGTGTCAAAATTTACATGCATTTTCTATTATCTGATCAAGGGGTGAAATTGAATTGTAGAGTGCAGGTGGTAACCCCATATCAATGGGGTCAACTCTTGGAGCTTCACGCCATTGGCGAGATGTCTTCTGGCTAGGAATCTTTGTTTTGCATTTGATTTTGGTAGGTTTTGCTCTTGGGGTACTTGGTTTTAATAGGTTTAGGAAGAAGGATAGACTTAACATAGATCAATACACAATCAAGTTTCTTGAGAATCAAGCTGGTTTAACGGAGGATTACTGGCCACTATATGCTGTTGCTGCTGCAATCAGTACAGTTATGGGATGGGTTTGGTTGTTGTTGCTTGGTTCACGTTCAAATCAAATGATGAAAGTCTCTGTACATATATTGACTACTTACCTTGCGGTGCTTAGCGTTTTGTGCTTTTGGGGAAAACTGGTGTTTTGGGGTGTTGCTTTTGCTATTGGCTCTGGATTGCAGTTCTTATATATCATATCAGTAATAGACAGGTAATGTTTCAAACCTTATATATCTATATACATATATCACACTTGTATATATGCATGGTTACTAGAAGAGCCTTGCGTTACCCTTTAGGATGCGTTTGGTACGTAGGATAGGATGGGACAAGACTGAATAAAAACTTGTTCTATCTTTGATGCGATATTAGACTAGGATAGGACATGAGTGAGTGGGACCAGCATTTTTGTTCCCTCAAAATAGGTGGAACAAATATCTGGGAGACAGGAAAAGAGTGATAAATTATTGAACTAATCATGTCAAACTAAACCCTAAAACCTTGCAAAATTCTTTCACCTGCCTGCCTCACTTTCGTCCATCCAGTCCTGTCAAATCCTGTCTGCATACCAAACGCTGAAACACACCCTTAATGTCTTGGTTACTTTGTTAACCAGTAACGAAAGGATTTGACATGTTTTCTGATGCATTTGTTTTGATTTTTATCTGTTTTTAGATCATATTTTCAGCAGATATTCTATAATCTCTTTATTACTCGACTCCAACTAGATTTCTTTTGTGGTTCAACAAGCATTTTACTATATGTTGAAGTCCATGTTGAAATTCCTGGAATGACCAAATTGTGATCTAGGGAAGTTTTCAGTTTATGAGAAACTGTCATTTCAGACCCTACCTCTATGTGGGATATATCAGGCTCGTTTCATTTGGTTTGAAAGATTTGATGTATAGACCACTCACAAATAGATTAACTTCCATTTGAATTTGTTTATTGACAAAAGATGGTGCTTTATACTATTCGAGTCCCCACTATTTCTTGCCGAGTGTCGATATATTTCACGATTTCTAATTAATTCTCACACTTCATTTAGACTTCCATTTACAATGCTGGTGCTGCAAAGAGCCGTGAAGATGGTATGGAAGCTTCCAGAAGTTATGAGAGTAGCATGTGCATTTATGCTAGTCATGCTTCTTTGGTTAGTATTATGGTCCTTTGGTGCTGCTGGTGTTGTGGCTTCGGGGATCGGTGATGGTGGCCGGTGGTGGCTTCTTGCGGTGAGGTCACCCTTTATGAGTTGATATCGTTGGTAATAAGTGCAGAAGCTTGTCGATTTGTGATGACATCTGCGATACTATAAATTTGACGTGCAGGTTTTCTCGGTGAGTTTGTTTTGGACAGGGGCGGTTCTTTGTAATACTGTCCATGTTATAGTATCGGGAATGGTGTTTCTTGTACTTATCCATGGTGGTCGAGATGCGGCATCAATGCCTCGCAACCCACTGCTGCAATCTTTACGGCATGCTGTAACAACTTCTTTCGGAAGTATCTGTTACGGTTCTCTTTTCACAGCTGCTATTCGAACGCTGCGGTGGGAGGTAAATATCGTTGTTTTTAATTTGTTAGTCTTTATGAAAACAACCGCTTTACTCTTGGTGGGTAGAGAGGTCAGGTCTGCGTACCCCCAAACCCCCACTTTGGATGGGACATATTGGTTTGGTTATTTTTAAAGTATAACTTGTTTTGTATCAGATTAGGGGATTCAGGTCAAAAATTGGCAACAATGAGTGTCTCTTATGCTGTGTGGATTTCCTGTTTCATCTAGTGGAGACCCTTGTTCGTTTCTTCAACAAATATGCATATGTGCAGGTGCTTAATTATTTGATAATTATCTTTTGCAAGCATTAATCATTTTGCTCTGTTTCATTACGGTTTTACCATTTACCAATCTGCTTCTATTTAATGATTTCTTGCTAAGGGGCCGTTTACCAAACGTTTACAGGACAAGTGCTTACTAGTAAGAGTCGCCACTCTTGTTTACCTTACTAGGTATGATTCTCGCCAATCAGAATGGTATAGTAGGCAATAATCTTTCCCTGTAAGCACTAATCGGGTAAGAGCACCCCTTACTTACTGGGTAAGATGGTCGGTCCTTGCCACGTTCGCCCAAATTAGCGTTTGGTAAACGACCCCTAAATATCGTCTTTGATTGTTGATTTTCCGAAACAATTGTTATTGTGTCAATTCTTGAATTTTTTTGATCAGTAAACCAACACTATGACAAATTCGGTTTTATAGGACGGAAAATATGTCTAAATGCTCTAATAGACTAGGACTTAAGTTTATAGGATCAAACAATTGCTTGTCATATGTAAAAGTGTTGCAATAATGTTATCAGCATTCTAAGAAACTTTTTTGGACGCTTTTTGGAATAAAGCGTTCTATTAAATTTTTATATAACATTATTTTGAAAAGTGTCTTATATAAAGACGTGATCATAGGGGCTAAAGCAATTCTTTTAAAAAAGCTAACATGACACTTTATTTCAGTAAGTGTTCTAAACAACCAAATTCATCCTAACATCCAATTGTAACATCTTTATATATGGTGCACAATTATTTGGTCCTATAAGACGGTCTATTAAGACATTTAGATATATTTGACATCCTATAAAACTGATATTGTTGTTATGTAAGTCCCCCATTTGTACAGTTGATACAATATCATCAATTTTGTCTAATTTGTTTACTTGCAGATTGCAGTTTATGGCAAAAACTTCAATCACTCGGCCAGAGATGCATGGGAGTTGTTTCAATCGACTGGTGTAGAAGCGCTTGTTGCATATGATTGTTCTGGAGCTGTTTTACTCATGGGTACGCTCTTGGGTGGGCTTATTACCGGAACTTGTGCTGTAGTTTTGACAAGGATTAAACATCCCGATAGAGAGATGATGATCGGGTCAACTGCGATATTGATGGGCATGGTCTTGGTAAGTGTGAATTCCCAAATCCAACGTCTCCTTTCTATCCACTGATCACATGAAAACACATCATCAAATGGAGAATGAAAAATAAATTTATATTTAATAACTCCGTAACACATTGTAGATGCATATAATTGTAATGTGTTGAAATCTAATTAGATTTGGTACTATTAGGTCGGATTGGCAATGGTGGTGGTAGAAAGTGCAGTTACATCAATATACATCTGTTACGCGGAAGATCCATTGTTAATACACAGGTGGGACCCTGAATTCTTCAACCAGATGTCGGAGACGTTGCACCAACGTCTCCAACACCGAAGTGCACGTGCAAGGGAAGGATTGAGCCAACATCGGCTGAGTGACCACATACAAGAAACGATATCCATTTGATTTGTTCAATCGTTTTTCTGCAAATGTAATGCTTGTAGAAACCCATGACAACGATCTGACCTAAGGTCGGATTCAATTTGTTAAAATTATGTATTCATTTGTTAATGATCAATGTGCAGCAAGTTTTGAAGGAAATGCATTCATTAATATCCTGCATTTTCTTTATTCATGATGAATAATCCTAAAATCTTATTAATATTCATGATGAATAATATATGAAATAGTTGGTTTCCACTTTTTAGAGTCTCAAAATATGTACGGTTCTTATTTAAAGCAATCGTATTATTATGAGTCAACAAGATAACACAATCTTACACCTTTATGAACTAATTATGTTCAATAAACTAATTATAAAGGACACAATTATATATAACCAGTACTAATCCTATAATCAGCCATGAATCTTTTGTCCAGCCGATGAATGTATTATTCTCTCTCCATTGCTCTTTCTTGGTTTACGATGTCGTCTTCTCCTGGACTTGCCGGTGGCCACCACACGAGGTATGAACACACCAGTTCCGACCCCATTACTCGCCCACAAACTCTCCAACCAACCAGGAACCTCCAAACTTGCACCACCCGCCAACCAACCAGACTTAAATGATCCAGCCACTACAGAGCTGCCACAAACCGGTCTCCTCTGAAACTCCGAACCACCCTGTAACTTGCTGTTTTGTCCGGCGTGTGTTTCATCATCATCATCCATAAGGAGCAATATCTGGGTTGTGAGTTGTGCGTAAAAAGCGGTATCCTCGGCATCCGGAAACTCCATGGTTGGTCGATGATGAGAGTAGTTTAAGTCGATGTCGATGGAATTTGAGACTACGGAGTATTGATCGATATTTATAGGAAGAAGCAAGCATATATTATGGCCACTTGGAAATAGAATCAAGTGGTAGTGGATGTGGATCCGAAGTTTGAAATTTGGTCAAAGGTGTCAAGTTGGGTGGAATTTGGACTGCAAATTGAGGATATTACCGGAAAAACGAACATTTGATTTTGTCAAAGGATGCAAGACTATGCCCTCAATCATTTTACCTTAATCGTCAAGAATATTGACCAATCAGTTAAATTCATACAAATATATTTGATTCTTATTTTTAAAAGTCTAATACAAGAATATCGACCAATCAGTTTTTTTATTTGATCCTATAAATTCAAATACTATATAATAAAAAAAAAACAGGTGGATTATATAGTTTATAATATTATAAATAAGTTGAAAATTATCTTTTTTGCAATAAATAGCATTAATGAGGTGCAAGTTGTTTGATGTCTTATCCATTCCAATTCCCAGTTGGTACTTGCAAATTGCATTCATACTCGTATCTTCCTCATTAATTTATCCAATATTAATTATTATTTTATGTGTTTTCCTTATTATTTATTATTGGATAGTTTTTCACCATAATTAAAACAAGTATAATTTTTATTGGATGATATATAATTAAATAAAATTGTTTAATAAATAATGTACGAATAATGTTGAGATGTATTTCGTTGCGTGCATTGTATGAATACCCTTCTAGTATGACTAAAGCAGACAATATGTGATGGAATTAGCTTGAAATGTTTGAATCATCAAGCACATTTGTGAATCCTCTCGTTTCAACAATTGATGATGGATTGCATCCTTATTTCCTTCATCACCTAAGATAATCCTGGTTTGTTGGTTTCTCAACTTTTGACTGGTGATACTTACTCCTCTTGAAGTAGAGCGATGCTAATTGCTTTTGATACTAAAAACAAAACAGGTCTGTTGACAGTTTGTTGCTTAGACCGGATGAATCTGACTCTATGATGTTAAGATTCTGGATGCGTAACAAAAGCATTGTGATTTTATGGCGCTATTAAACTTTGTACCAAAAGAAATTTCAACAAGTGCTGACACAGCTTGTGGAATCTGTAACAATCTTAAAGATCGATTTCAACAACAGAAAGACCCTTGACCCCGCACGATCGAATGATAATAAGCGTAATCCAAGTTCATAATATTGGTGGTAGAGATGAGTAGAATATTAATAACGGATGAGAGAGATATTAGTGGAATAGATGTTAATTCATTGGTGGGGGCATATATATATATACAACCAACCAACCAGAAACAATGATACATTGATGGAAGATCGAAATTGAATGAATCTTGATGAATTAGCAAAGATCAAAGTCAATTGAATCACATTAAGAGATAATTTCAAATGCAAGTAAATATCCCCCAAGAATATGTCGTTATAAATTCAGCTTGAAATAATCAAAAAGAAATGAATGGAAACAAATGAAAGGTCAAGGAAGTAATTAAAAAAAACGAGTGAGATGATGACATTAATTAATGTTTCAAGTTGTAGGAGTTCAAAGTGTGTGAACCACGGCCCACATATATGAGACACGCTGGATGTCGGCCGGCCTGCATCAAAACTACAAAACAAGGAAGATATATATATATATATATATATATATATATATATATATATATATATATATA